TTCGTTCAGTAATGTTTGCGCTCAATTACATTATATACGAAAGGAAACTACTTGTAAATAACGTATTGAATTTGAATCAAAAAGACGTCAGCTAAGACGTTCGGAGGTCTCTGTTTTCTGTCAATACCTTCATTAAATGGAAATCTCTAATGTTGATGTTCAGTTGATTAAAAAGTTTGCTGATAATTCAGGTAGTCCTCGAAAAGCCTGACAGGGAATGTTAGTTCTAGTACCATATGTATTATAAGACACGGTAAAAGCAAGGTAACTTTGAGATAGATCACTTGAAATTGTTAAATCATCTAGCAGTTCATCCTAAATAAGAACAAATACTTAGTCATCGACTGCGGGTTTTAAAGCCTGTGAGACCTTTCAGATTATCTTAATAAATGGTAATAGTAATATCTGAAAATTTTGTGTAACGTGGTCAGAACTAAATGTCAGTAGCACATATATCTTAATTCTTCAACATACTTTTGACCTCCTTAACTTCTTTCACCTACATTTTCTGATGCTCCATTTATTTGAAATTATGATACCTGTTTGTTATTATATTAAGCCAGGCAGTTAGTCAACATGAACTACAGATTGAAATATGTTTTTCTACGTCTTTTAATCTAATTACTGTTTATTCTTTTATTATCCTCTACTTTAATTGGCAATTCTACCTTTTCCTAGTTGTACTGTTCAAGGATGTGTTATTGGTGAAAAAGCGGTTATCGAAGAACTATGTAATTTGAAAAGCTGTACTGTCGCGGCATTACAACGAGTACCAACTGGAACAAATCTCGAATCAAAACAATTAGGATTTACAGATCCAGAATTAAATGCAACATAACCCCTTTTTGTATTGTTGACTACTTTTTCGTTTACATCAAATAAATACTTGTGATGAATATTTAATTGTTATGGTATCACCTTTCGAGCTAAGATTAATTTACATTTTGTAATTGTTATGTCTTGGCCATCTCTTTTTTAATTCCAGTGTGACTATTAAAAAATGCTCTTTTAAGAACAGATTCTTTTATTCTTTACGTTAATGCTAATATTTATGTTGATATCAAAACATCTACTAACTGAAGCCCATGTCCAAAAAGTCCTACATCAGGAGCCTCAGTGCAATCAAAGCTCCATGCGAATATACTAAAAATAAAAATAGCTGTAAATTTCCACTTGTCCAGTATGCAATGCATATATTCAAATTACGTGGAATGTACATCTGAAGTGATTATTTTTGTATATACTAAAAAGAAGTAACAGGGTACAAAACACCTAATGCTTAAGAAATGTTCTCATCTGGATTATAGAAGTAGGATTTATTTATCAAATTTCGAAATTATTTAGCTGTTACTTTTGCTTGGTGTATCAGATTTTTCAATCTCATTAATACCTAATAGTTTAACCAACTAGAATATGGTGCAAGCCTGTATACAAGGGTTTTGTGTAAGAAACCACACTCCAAACTAAAATAGTAAATAAGGATAAAGCAAATAAGCATTAATCAGCCGGGGGTTCATTATTTGCAATAAAACTTTCGTTTATTTTAATTAGGACTGACACAAATTTGCCGGGATCTGTCCAAAAACCACTAATATCCATGAATTAACTAGCTTTTCTGATATGTAATTTTGGTTGCATGTATGTAACCATTGAAACAATTAAGAAGAATTCTAAAATAATGATAACAGTGAAACAGTACAAAATAAACTACGATAAATAGAAAAAGTAGATAGTAAGACGACTTGTGTAGTAGCTGTGCTAAAAATGGTAGTCACGGCAGTTTAACAGTAACAAATACTTAACATATCATGGTATCGATTTGTAATCCCTATATATCATAAATAGTTGCGTAAACTACACAATTGTTATCGTTAGAGTAGGGTCAAGCATATGAATAAGTAGATCACGCACTCCTTTAGTTGGTTATGTATTTTTTTTATAGTAACTGGGTTTCTGCGATAATTCATGGATTAATTCAGCATGACATCGGTAGCCGATAGCGATGTAATCTATTTGGGTCCAACGTCAAAAGATGTTTTTCCTAATGCTTAAAGTTATTATTTGCAAGAACCAGGCGGTTATCTGAGCATAGCTGCAACAGTTGGTTGCCATTATTTGTTCTTTGAGCCACAACACCATAAGATCCACCCAGGTGTCTTTCCCTTTCACTTAGTTTACCTACTTGAGCATTAAAGTCACCAGCCACTATTACTACATCAGAACACCTAGCTTTTCTGAGGTTGGAAAGCTTTCTGTAAAATTCGTCTTTTACATCATCTGAGCTACAGTCAGTGGGAGAGTAGTGGGCAGAGACGACGAAGAGGCAACGACGTGTGTCCCTATCTTTCCGAGTTCTTATTGTTCCATTTAGTCGGACAGTGCACAAACAGCTGTCTACTGGGATCCAGACTAAGAGAGCTATTTCTGCCCTAGGACTCAATGCTACACCTACGCCAGCGAGGCCATGGGAAGCAGAATCAGGGCTTCCAGATACACAAAGTGTGAATCGAGTTGGTTCGTTATTTTGATATGGTGAAGTCAAATGGATGACGCTACTCGGATCCTGTATGCGCGTTTCGGAGACGCAGCATACATCGATGGCGCAAGATCCTAAAGTCCTAGTTAAGGAAGCCTGTTGTCCTATTTGGTATAGTGTTCGGGCGTTAAAAGCTCCTACATGTAATTTAGAGCGTGGTTTCAGGGGACCAGGAATAACGTTCCGCGTACCCAAATCGCTTGCATTAGCGGCGCGAGGTGACAAAGGAACGTATGAAGGGTTAGTCGTGCAGATATGAGTTATTAGGAGGCGTAGGAAGGATTTGGTTGTGACCAACATGGTCTCGTGTGCTGTTACGGAGATGAGGGATGACGTCGCCTCCCGGCTGCCCACACCATGGAGGGGTTTTTTGCGGGACCTAAGAAGGAAGTTTGATTAGTGTTAGTCTTAACGACCTGAGAGCGTGACCACAGAGCCCAAGGGCCAACTGCTTGAGGCCAGTCGCGCACGGCCTTATTGTGGGAGGTTTTTAACCTGTTAGCTCCGTTCTTCAAGAGAGCCTTACCGCCGGAGACGGGAATCCGTGGGGTAAGGTGAAGTGTGACATTTTTAAAGTCGACCTTTTCTAACCCTTCCTCGTGAGAAAGCAGCATCGCTGGATTATGAAGACCTACACATTTGAGGGGAAGCACGCAATTCAATGGATAGCTCAAAATCAGTTAGACGATTTGCTCTTTGCAGATGACCCAGACCTCCGGTTCCATACACACAAACAAACGCAGACGAAGACAACTAGTGTAGCAGCAGCCTCTGCATCAGTAGGCCTCAGTATACACAAGGGAAGAAGTAAGGTCCTCAAATACAACATGGAGAACACCAACCCAATCACGTTTGATGGAGAAACTCTGGAAGATGTGGAATCTTTCACGTGCCTGGGAATCATCATTGATAAACAATGAGGATCCGATGCAGACGTGAAGGCAAGGATTTGCAAAGCAAGAACAGCATTCCTACAGTTGAAGAACATATGGGACTCAAAACAACTGTCAACGAATATCCAAGTCAGAATCCTCAATACGAACATCAAGACAGTTCTACTGTACGGAGCTGGAACTTGGAGAACTACCACAGACATCATCAAAAAAGTACAAGTATTTATAAACAATTGTTTATGCAAGATACTCAATGTGCGTTGGTTGGATACCATCAGCAACAGTCTACTGTGGGATAGAACAAACCAAATTCCAGCCGAAGAGGAAATCAGGGAAAGACGTTAGAAGTGGATAGGACATACATTGAGAAAATCATCAAACTGTATCACGAGGCAAGCTCTAACTTGGAATCCTGAATGGAAACGGAAAAGAGGAATACCAAAGAACACACTACGTCGGGAAATGGAAGCAGATATGAAAAGAATGAATAACAACTGGAAAGGGTTGTCGATGACAGTGTTCGATGGAGAATGCTGGTGGGTAGCGTTTGGTCTTTCATGAGGGTTAAGAGAATTAAGTAAGAATTAACTTTGCTATTTATTATTAACAAGAGGAAGCGAAAACTAATTTCTTAGACACAACAAACTCTTATGAAGATTGCCAGGAATTATAGTTCACTGTGTATCATTAATTACAGGTTCTGACTTGTTCTGAGAAAAATTTGAATACGGGATATTTATAACGAACTCAGTACTACCATTACCTTGGTAATAATCAGGATTTTGTGTTTTCGGTTATGATCATAAAACTTTTAGACAGGATAGATTTCATTAATTATTAACTCTTCTAGCTCTAAATCGCATAAAGACGGCAAAAGTGTGAATTTCGATTTCATATAGAGATTCAACTCAACACTGAAGGTCAAGTAAATTTCTGAAAGCGGATGGTATATATATATATACAGTCGTTTAGGCTGATGATGAAACCTGAACAACATAATTAACAACGTACATAATCATATTAAGTTCTTTTTCAAAATTCTTAGATTTTGAGCACTGAAAAAAATTTTCAAATTCCTTTGAATATGATAATGTTAAGCAGGATAAACAGCTTACAGGACGACATAAAGTAGTTCGAAAAAATCGACTTTTATACAGTGCACGTTAAACAGTAGAAACCAATACAAAAGACTGCATTAAACATACGAAACATACAAAATTTTGGGACAAAGAACGTAAATAATTTAGTGGTACTTTCAGTTATCAAACATTCCTTCAATTAATATTTGTTATCAGTTATCAGATGAACAGTCCACACTGAGAAATATGCCCTAAAAAGTAGTTAAACACTTCCCATTATAACTTTAATGAAGGGTATGAATAATAATAATGTTAAAGAAATGGCAGTATGCTTGAGAGAAGACACTTAAAATGTTCATGCCATATTCTGAGATAATCGATATTTTAAATAAACGAAGAAATATAAGACTCATTGAAATAATAATTTATTTGGAAAAAAAGATTGTTAGAAACTTTAGTGGTGGATAACAACAAACGATTAAACTCATGAAGTCAGATAAACAGTTTAACCTAAAATAAAAACGAGAAAGTAAACAAAATAACTTGAAATTATGTTTAACTCGATTCAACAAACAAAAGACTGCTGTTGAATTAGATGGGTTTATAGTCTTACAGGCTTTCCGAATGAACAGATATCCTTAGGATAAGGAAAATACCAGATGCCAAATACAACACAAGGTATTTCTTCATACTGGAATTCAAATCATTTGGTAAGGGATAGCTAACTTTGAAGCAGGAGTTCTCCGATAATATGAACACGGTTTTCTAACAACTGTTAATTTTTAGTGAGTCTCATGAGTGAGCTTTTATATTTTGAGAAATAAATGTCAGTATATCAGCAGTCCACCGTTATTATTCAAATTTAGTAATTTCCAACAAAAAATGTAAAAAATTATGTTTCAGTTTAACGAGCACGAAAGGAAGTACATTTGGTGATCCTAATCATTAATTATTTTCAGTTGAATGACCATGAGGGAGCAATCTATTCATTTTGTCTCAAACATCAGATATATATATATATATATATATATATATATATATATATATATGTTAAATTAGGATTGAATACAAACGTACTTAACTGTATCATTCAGCTTTGAAAAGCAATGCCTGAATTTTTGGGGTGATGTTTAACATTGAAAAAATCTTTTTACTCATTGCCACAAATATATGGGGCGTGCCTTTTGTGTTAATGACTACGAATTCCTAATCGCACTTCCAATTAAAAAATAACCACAGTTGTATTAACACAATAACGACAAGAGTATTATTATATTCAGAATATTATTAATCCAAACAATCAATCAGTCAATCGTCCAATCCAATGCAATCCATATTGAATGGATAGAAAAAGCATAGTCTGATATACTAATGCAAGCAGATAGTTGTTAGACAGATAAACAAATATTTGTATAAACACCTAAAACGTGCATGGATAAAAGAGTTGAGAAATAGTTGTTCAAACAAATACAAAGTAACTAATAGAATTAGAGACCCGGATTTAGTTGTTTAATGGTCCTTTAGTTTTATTAAAAATATAGGTAAGTACAAACTAGTAAATTTATCAAGTTACTGTCTCAACGTAACAGCTATTTGCTGGTTTTTCCAGCTAAAGAGAAAGAGAAGTCAGTAACAATGATGAAGTCTAAAAAGAACAGGTCACTACAGGACCATAAACAATAACCTCCAAGTAGGAAGATTTGCAAGAACTAGATTCAATTTATTGATAATGTTATCAGTTCAACATAATAAGTCAAAATACATTTTGTTGATGGTTTAAATCTAAATTTAAGAAATGATTATCATCCTTATTGAACACTTCCAACTGAATATACCCAAAATAGAATTGCGATTAGTACTATCACAAGATGAACTTACAGTACCTCCTAAATTTCACAACTAGTAACTAACTTAATACTTTCATAACAAAATGATTATAAATATTAAAGTATTTGGACAATGAATGTATATTAGAATGAAGATACGTTAATTTGAAATCTTAGGTCAAATAGAAATATCAAGTTATAAACAACAGAAAATAGCTAACACTCCAAATACCAACAATCAAAACATCATCGGGGATGTGATAAAAACACATGTAAACAGAAATTATTTTCAAAATGAGTTCAGTAGTCAATACAGTGACTTTTCACTTTCAAAACTGTCATCCAGTATATTAATAAACTACCACAAGATAAATGTTGTTAGTTTTAAGAAAGGCTTATTTATCATCGATCGATTTTATTACGCAATAAAAACGGTGATACGATTGAAATATATGTTGATAGACCAAGCGATAGGAAGATTATTCATCTGCTGTTAAAGGACTTCTTTTGAAACTTACTTATAAGGGTAGTCTAAATCCCACAAAGAAGCGTGCAACACAGTTTTCTCTGCTTCTTTAAGATAAGTTTTATCTACTTCATAACCCCATTGAAGAAATTCCGGAAAATAAATATACAATCTCATCCAGATGAACGTTTAAACAAAACCTGTGTCTACATGTTATATTTCTCTGTCTTACGGTTATAAACCAGCTATTCCTATTGCTTAGTATTCACGGACACAGATTCACTCGACAAGGCCCCAAATCAGAACACGGTTGAGAAGGAAGGAGATTATATTCCAAATAACAAGGTTAGATGGAAGCAAGAAGCACAAAAGGAAAACCGTTAGTATATTTATAGTTTTTACATGAGAAGATTCTAGAGTCTTATCCATGTATCGGCTAGCGCTGATTGGATAAGAATCAGCCAATCAGCGTGCGCCAAAGCAATCGTGCATTGAGTATGCTTAAATCCAATCTATATCCCACTAACACTACATTATTAGGATTTCACTAGACATTAATGATCTCTTAAAGTCGTTAGTGCTTAACCAAATACATTCTGAACATGTATTACATTTATACAGAACAGATTTCATTGCTAAGCGGTATTTTATTTATTTATTTGAACACATAAATATTGGTACAAGGGGACAGTATAACTGAATTGCTCAATTAACTAATACAAAATCAGCAAAATCCCCTTATAATTCAATACAAAAGGTGCTGATAAACAAGTAAAACGTGGTAGTTAATAGGATAAATATAAGTATTAAGCAGAGTGAAGCTTTAGGAGTTATGGGATACGAACAGGTGATGTCAGAGTGATGTTGCTATTTCAAGAGAAATTAGCATAACTAGAAGAAAAACAAGCCCTTAAAGTGAAGGGAAGAAACCTAACAGAAACACCTTTGAATGAACGATGTTTGTATGAACCTCCGAGAGAACATGCGTTTCATAAGTGTTGATGATAAGTTCCAACAAACAAGGAACCTAGATGGGTTAGATATCAAAAGACTCTAGAAATCCTAGTACAAGTTTATGCAGTATAAGGAGGATTCGTGTTGTTTATCTGAGATTCATATTCAAGACTCTAGTCTTACAAACTCGTTCTACACCAGACGCTAAGCCCAAAGTAGAGGCAGTACTCATCAACTGAATCAACACTAACAGCTGTTTTAGGTGAATTTTCGTTCTCTGAGTTGGGTGGTTTGGTTGTGGAGATCTCATTATTTTTCTGAAAAATGTCAGCAGACTTCTACTTGAAGTTTGTGTTGATGTTGTTCAGAAGAATAATGAAAGCTCCACTTCCAAACAGCCCAGCTCAGAAAACAAAACTCCAACTAAATCATCCATCTGAGCTACAAATCTCTGTCGTCTCACTAACAGTTGTTTATGCTGTTGGTAGCCCTCGAAAACGTTTTTAGAAGCTGGGAATAGATTGAAAGCACTTTTTCTAATCAGTGTTCGATAGAAACTACCAAGAGAATCCTAGAAAAATAACGGATTATCTATCATGATCTGACGGACAATTAACGAATTCGTTGCTCACGTTACCATGTTTCTGTGTGTAGGGCTTATACATGACTGACTCCAACCATCTAACTGTAAAATCCTTCATACAGCAAACAATGAAATTACGTATGAGAATATGATTTGGGCAGATTCGAGAGACGAATAGCCAAAATGTAAAGGTAGTTACCAATTTGGAAGTCAAAACTATATTTAGAGGTATAAATTATGGACATCCGGGAAAATATTATTGACGATAAAATCACGGCTGCACTGTGTTTTAAACCATTAATGTCACTAACAGTAGTATTAACTAAATGATATTTACAAAAAGATAAATTTTGTTAATGGAACTCAATAATCAAATACAAATTCCTGAAATTCCCCTATCGAATACAAATTCTGTAAGGTATTGGGATATTGTTTTGTGATCCGATTTATAGTAGCTCAGGTGGGTTTCATGTCTGTAACTAAGCAGCGAGTACGTCAACTATTAAAAAGCCGATAGCAAACGAACTGTGGACTAAGATAAATTCACGAACATTAGACTTATCTTGAATACAATTTAAAAGAAATGAGTATTAAAAATTGTAATAGCTTGAATAAGATAACTTTTCAAAAAATGAGGAAAACGTTATTATGAAACAATTAGGAACTTACTTCATGAACACGATATGTTCGGTAAATTCGGCATGATGCTCCACAAAAAGTAGAATGGCACCGACGGCATGGCAAATGGCACCCAGGACATTCAGATTTTAGACAATCACAACTATAGTCCAAGGTTCCTAAAAAGCGGCCACGAGAATCATATAACGGATGCAACCGACTGTTAATAGTAGATGAAAACAGGAAGGCAACAAATAGATCAGTGAAATTATTTCCTACTAGTGATGAAATTCATTCATAGCCATGCTAGAATAACCTATCTGAGGTCAGAAAAAAAAACACAAAAATGTACTTTCATTTCGCTCGCATCTGACGCCTTTATCACACCAATAGTCACTGTCTGTTTTATAACACAAACGGCAAGACGAATGAGTAGTGGGTACTACTCAAATAACCAGCGAAAATAAGGTAAATGTATTTGCCAAAAGAATCGTCTTCTTAATTTCCTCTTCAGCTGCCCTCATGAAAGACCAAACGCTACCCACCAGCATTCTCCATCGAACACTGTCATCGACAACCCTTTCCAGTTGTTATTCATTCTTTTCATATCTGCTAGAGCTAGAAGAGTTAATAATTAATGAAATCTATCCTGTCTAAAAGTTTTATGATCATAACCGAAAACACAAAATCCTGATTATTACCAAGGTAATGGTAGTACTGAGTTCGTTATAAATATCCCGTATTCAAATTTTTCTCAGAACAAGTCAGAACCTGTAATTAATGATACACAGTGAACTATAATTCCTGGCAATCTTCATAAGAGTTTGTTGTGTCTAAGAAATTAGTTTTCGCTTCCTCTTGTTAATAATAAATAGCAAAGTTAATTCTTACTTAATTCTCTTAACCCTCATGAAAGACCAAACGCTACCCACCAGCATTCTCCATCGAACACTGTCATCGACAACCCTTTCCAGTTGTTATTCATTCTTTTCATATCTGCTAGAGCTAGAAGAGTTAATAATTAATGAAATCTATCCTGTCTAAAAGTTTTATGATCATAACCGAAAACACAAAATCCTGATTATTACCAAGGTAATGGTAGTACTGAGTTCGTTATAAATATCCCGTATTCAAATTTTTCTCAGAACAAGTCAGAACCTGTAATTAATGATACACAGTGAACTATAATTCCTGGCAATCTTCATAAGAGTTTGTTGTGTCTAAGAAATTAGTTTTCGCTTCCTCTTGTTAATAATAAATAGCAAAGTTAATTCTTACTTAATTCTCTTAACCCTCATGAAAGACCAAACGCTACCCACCAGCATTCTCCATCGAACACTGTCATCGACAACCCTTTCCAGTTGTTATTCATTCTTTTCATATCTGCTTCCATTTCCCGACGTAGTGTGTTCTTTGGTATTCCTCTTTTCCGTTTCCATTCAGGATTCCAAGTTAGAGCTTGCCTCGTGATACAGTTTGATGATTTTCTCAATGTATGTCCTATCCACTTCTAACGTCTTTCCCTGATTTCCTCTTCGGCTGGAATTTGGTTTGTTCTATCCCACAGTAGACTGTTGCTGATGGTATCCAACCAACGCACATTGAGTATCTTGCATAAACAATTGTTTATAAATACTTGTACTTTTTTGATGATGTCTGTGGTAGTTCTCCAAGTTCCAGCTCCGTACAGTAGAACTGTCTTGATGTTCGTATTGAGGATTCTGACTTGGATATTCGTTGACAGTTGTTTTGAGTCCCATATGTTCTTCAACTGTAGGAATGCTGTTCTTGCTTTGCAAATCCTTGCCTTCACGTCTGCATCGGATCCTCATTGTTTATCAATGATGATTCCCAGGCACGTGAAAGATTCCACATCTTCCAGAGTTTCTCCATCAAACGTGATTGGGTTGGTGTTCTCCATGTTGTATTTGAGGACCTTACTTCTTCCCTTGTGTATACTGAGGCCTACTGATGCAGAGGCTGCTGCTACACTAGTTGTCTTCGTCTGCGTTTGTTTGTGTGTATGGAACCGGAGGTCTGGGTCATCTGCAAAGAGCAAATCGTCTAACTGATTTTGAGCTATCCATTGAATTGCGTGCTTCCCCTCAAATGTGTAGGTCTTCATAATCCAGTCGACCACCAGGAGAAAGAGGAAACGTGAGGGTAAGCAACCCTGTCTGACACCGGTCTTCACCTAGTATGTCTATTAGCAACTAATCTTCCATGACTTTGCAGTGTAGTCCATAGCAAGAATTCCGTACGATGTTGAAAATCTCAGCTACATCATAGTGTCGAAGAAGACTCCATAAGGTTCTCCTATCCATGTTGTCAAATACCTTGATGTATAGTGATGAGTTCCATTCAATTGGTTGCTCAACGATTATCCGTAGTAGAACTTTTATGCATCTCAGAAGCCTTTTCTCGAACTTACTGACAGTATATTTGTCAATGTCACACCATTTGTGCATCAGATGTTCAGCAATAGTCAACTCTCTACTATTCACATGTCCAATTAATACTATGTTGATATGTCTTTGTTGAACAAGCACCATTACAGCAACAAATGAAGATACTCTAATTGCATGCACAATAATCTATTAGCAAAATCATTGGGAATTTCTTTTAAAAAATTACTTATATTATAAAGCACCATAAATAAGAGTATAGTACGCCGTTCTGGATACAGAAATGGTCATTTATTTGCACATTAATTTTGAGATCTTTACCAGCAAACTCCCTCTGCCAGAGCAAGACATGGTCTGTTTACCACTCTGATAAATGTTGATCTGGCTTCAGTAAATGCTAGTCGGTAAGCTAGATCTTCTCGTTCATCAGTCAGAGATAAAGATCCTACTGCTCCACAGTCATCCTTTGAAGCATCACTGAACATTCGAAGTTCAATTGTAGAATAGCTTGTTGCGTTTAACGACCTTTTTAGAGCAATACGTTGCAGATGTATTGATTCCGCTACCCACTCCGTCCATGTTTTATGTTCTTCGCTAAAAACTGCGTCGTCCCATGAAAACTTCAGTTTGTACAGCCGTTGAAGAGCAAACTTGGCCGTCTACTACGAAACGAGACAATTCGAGAAACAAACAAAATAGTCGAACACAGCATTTTACCGCAAAACGACCGATGTTACTACTTGATTTTTTATTCTTGGGAGATAATGGCTGGAAAAGGTAGGGAAAATAAAATGTCTCAGGTTAATACAAGGCTGAATATTTCCGAAAGCAAATACGTAGAACGGATGCTAATTGTTAAATGTGACTTGCAGACCATTTGAAATAATATGAGGAAAGTTTGTCCGCAAGTAAAAGATATAATGAACTTCAAACTTTGTGACTAAATGCATAATAGATGGCGAGAAAATTTCATCTTGTGTAGGACGAAATAGGTTCTCACAAACGGATGTGAACGAAGACAAAAATACGATTGACTTCCGCATATTGATGCGCGAGAGTCAAGCTTATTCTGTCGCTAGCCGGAGCTGGCTGTTCTAAGAAGCTAAAAAGAAATTGTCTCAAGGAATGCTTGGTGCAAACAAGTCAAAACGTGGCATTCCGTATATGATAAGTAGTAACATTGGGGCCATGAGTAGTGGGCACGTCCTCAAAGTTCGTGATCGAGGACCTCGCTCCAAAGATGGAACAACAAGTGGAAACGCACCCATCGACCATGACTAACGAGAAATGAACGACCGTCCATGTTTGTCATTAGAAGCCTGTGTTAGTCATAATGGCATTTTGGGTCCTTCATGAGGTTATAGTGGTTCTGTAAACGGAGGCGGATATGGTGCATTCAAGAACCAGAAATGTAGAGGCATATATTAAACTGGACAGGGAGGTTTCGGTGAACTTGGACAAGGTGAACAGGGAAACATGACTTCTGGGGGATACGGTGGAAGTCAATGGGAATACGGTGACACAAAGAGAGGTCGAAATCCTTTTCGCATCAGTTGTGGAGGTATGACATTTGAATGACATGTCGGAGAAAAGGTCGACCAGTGGAATGTTGGTTTGTGCTAAAAACTTCCTTGAATTTAAATTTAGTGAAATACACGAAAGTAATAGTTTGAAAAATCTGGAGCTAAGACAGTCTGACTCCAATCGATCTTGTGTGCATTATCCGAGTAAACCCAACAATAATTTACGGAGATAAAACCACTAACAGCAGGTAATATTGAGCGCGAACAAATGCCAAGATGACCGATACAATTTCCTTGGACAGTTGACAAACACATCGATCAATAAGAAAAGAACTAATTAGCGACCAACTGATGAAATATGAGGACGAAATAGTTCAACAAACAACGGATCACAGACCCGTCTAATTACAACGACTATAAGTAAAGCTTCGGTCGATTATCTACTTAGTCACTGCATTGACATTCATTTGATTAAACAGTAGCCGACTCATAGTACATACAACTAGATTTCCAGAAACTCAAAAATCAAAACATTTGGGTTTACAAAGCGATATTTTCAAAGAGCATAATCCGAAGGCAATGAATTAATTCATGATGAACGAAGAAAACCAAAACTATTGTATTTTAAAGTGTTGTACAATAACCAGAACACGATTGTCTAATAATAAAGTATCCAGATATTGAAGGATATTGGATGAATTAAATGGTCTTCAAATGAATAATATAATTTCCCTCATTCTTATTATGGGATAATCATAAAAACAGAGATGTAGAATTAATATGGTGAGAAAGTCAATTTTCGATTGATTTACTCAATATGAGTTTTTTCATCACTACATCCGTTTTGATTCAATGTAATGATTACGCAATGTAGTATTTGTTTTCTTTTCTCATATGATATTTTATCCTGTATAATATACGATATTCTTGTATTCCATTGATCTGAACTATGCTCCGTATATGATTTGTTATAACTCTGAGTATTTTTTACATATGTGATTTCATCCTAATTATTAATCAAAATGGGTGTACAATCAACGTATAAATGAGTGTATTTTCTACTAGATCATCATCGTCATCGTAGTCGTCATCATACTGTTTTGGGGCCAATAAATCTTTACTTATACCAGACTGTGAGTTCTTACTTTTGCGTCGTGGGGATTGCCGAGGTCCCTCGTTCCAAGTATAAATGATCAGCGTTTTTCCGGCACAGCAATTAGCGACGACCAAACATAACAAGAATGGTTAAAAAAATTTAAAACGCTTATGCCATTCAAATGTATACAACAACACGCCCTGAAGCTAAAAAATAAAACTGCTAGTGGCTCAGAATTACAATGGAAATTGACTACCATAAGACATTAAATTACTCTGATGATTTGTGACCAGATTTAACGGTCATTTGTCTGCGAACACTTCGTGTCATATTTGCTTCGGACCAACCGACTTCTAGTTCTTCCATCTGTTTACCTGGGTTAGTGAACTTTAGGCGATCAAGTTCTCGACTATCAATCGAAGGAGTGACAATAATACCGTCCGGATCGTCAATATGATTTTTACTAACCGGACTGCAATTTCGGTGATCTCCGGAACAGGATTTACGAGCTTTGGAAATCCGTTTAGACGATAACTGAAGTGGTAGATTCCCTGATGGCGAAGGAAATTCCTCATTGGATGCCATAGTCCTAAAAAGTGAAATAAACACGCACTAAAGTTTCTAACAGATCCTGAAAATAAAAAACATACATATGGCTAACTTACAACTAGTACTTGACTAGATTAAGTTTCGAAATAGAAGAAACGTTATTTCAATATCTTGGTGACAATATCAAAGCAGGATCAGCTAAAGGCTCCGACTGCTGATTCACATAAACTTATTCACGAGAAATCTGATAAGACAAATGAACCAGCTTTACTTGTTAGGTTGGCAATATTCAATCCAAATAACCTGATGCTTCTCTTAGTGCAAAATATACTCGTTTAACAGTGAATAATCCTGTTGCTAAGTCTTTAGTGGAAGGAATTGAAGAATACCGAGTGTACGAAATCTTGAAGTGAAGTTAAACCGCGAACTGAAACTTTAGTCAACTAAATGTTGGTCATTTACAGTACACAGAGGTTAAGAAAACAGGATTAATCGTATTCGACTAAGAGAAAAACAACATATATAAGCGAACAATATTGTTTTCGATTAGATCCTCATCCGGCTTTACTCTAATATACAGTAATATTTATATGCATATACGAAATTATTAAACCAATCAAGGTAGTTTATAAATCAATGATAACGATGAATAAAACGATTACATAATATGTGAAAAGTACAAATAGATAGTGTGATGACAGGTGTACTAGTTTTTATAAGAATAATAAAGGCTCAAATCAACGTTACATAATCGGAAATAGGTCAATGATTAGAAAAATATAGATAGTGAGATAACATTTATAATAATTATTATAAGATGACGTAATGAGAAGTGTTCAGATAATTGAACCGTGAAAAAATAAAAATAAAATAGTAGGAGGGGGTGAAGAAGAATTAACCTGATGCTTCTCTTAGTGCAAAATATACTCGTTTAACAGTGAATAATCCTGTTGCTAAGTCTTTAGTGGAAGGAATTGAAGAATACCGAGTGTACGAAATCTTGAAGTGAAGTTAAACCGCGAACTGAAACTTTAGTCAACTAAATGTTGGTCATTTACAGTTCACAGAGGTTAAGAAAACAGGATTAATCGTATTCGACTAAGAGAAAAACATCTATTGGTTCTAATGGTACTAACGTTAGTGTACCTCAAAGTTTTATTCACAGAAGATTTATGTTACTAAAAGAGGGTTGCTTTGCAAAGTCAATTATTTTGAAGATAAGTTTTATTAAAATTATAAGTATGCGTTTAATCTTGATTTCAGACTTTTAAACAAATTCAATTTTAGAAGGTTTGAGAGGAGATGAATTCTGATGGCCGATGGTTCCCAGCTTCAGTTGATAGCGTACATGGTCAGAAGTCCCAAATTACGATGAAATAATTGTTAAGCGGCCCATTTAACGGTATCGTTTTGGAACAGCACGATAGTCCTGTAGAGCATTCTTTCATACCACGACACTATGTCATACGCCAACCACATATCCGCTCTTTCCAACAAGTCTCAGCGTTGGCAAATAATTCTCTAGGACGACATTCGTAATGCATATACAAGCCACCGAAGTCGCTGTTTCAAGATGGTGACACCAACTGGATTGTTGTCACTGCAATCGGACACACATCCCCGAACCTCTGTGTTTCTAGCATGGTGTTGCCACTAAATATCAGCAATCTTTAGAGACAACGATAGTCACTTAAAATTCTCAATTCGGAAGCCAGGTTTCACAACCATACAGCAGAACGCGTTTTAAACCCAACCGTTTACAACAAGACCAGCATCATGAAGGCACCAAAGATGCCCCAATTTGAGATAAGACACTCTGTATTTCACTATACGTAAATTAGTATCACCACCTGAACTTAAACAGCTACCCGAATTCACGGACTTCTCGACTACGTCTAACCGCCCACTTCCAAGAGTGAGTGCAGGTACAAGTTCCTGTCAGTCCCGTAGATGTGTTTTGCACTTAGGTGCAGAGCACGTACCATACCTACAGACACTCCCAACCAAGCGCGGATCGCATGGCATGGGTATCCTCGCACAGTAAGACTACATCATCCACATACTCAACGTGGAAGTCTTTCTTCAGGTAACAGATACGCACCACTACTACATACTTCTATCAGAGCTGTTTCCAGAATGTGACTTTAGGCAGTTGGACATGAATAGTGAGATTGGGCAACTCTGTCTAACTCAACTACTCGGATGGAGTTAGGTGGGGAGGTGGTTGTATGCCTTCACAATGACTGAGGTGTTTCTACACAGTGTCTTCAATATGTTAATGAGCTTCACAAGCACACCCTTCTTCAAAAAACAATCACAGAGGACATTCGTTTTCAACAAGTAAAAGGCGACCCTAATATCAGGGAAAACAACGTTGCTTCGCCTTCAATAAGCACGGCAGTGATCTGACATTTAGCGGAGCATGAACATATGATCAACACGTCCTCAACGAGGACAAAAACCGACCTGTTTCTCTTGAATCAATCATTTGAGGGTTCTGAACAATATGTCAACAATTTGAACCCAATTGGAAGTAGACTTACCGTCCAATAGTTAGCACGCTCCAACCGCCATGCTTCTCGGTCCTTACACAAAATTAGCGCAATTTCTTTATGTAAGGACCCACGTCAAACTCGTGGTTAGTGGGAGTAGACCGATTTGCTTCGAAGAGTTATAAGGAGCCTATGTAAACCTCAAGCAACTTGAATCACCACTTTTTATTGCGTCATGCAAATACAGCCAATGTTCATCTATAAATTTTCGTAAGTTGATAACTAGCCTTGAACGTAGTTCATTTCGATATTTGAATGAAACGGAAGCTGAAGCCAGGGACAGGTTGTGGTCTGCATATAGCTACAGGTGTAAGTCACCGTTATCTGACTTGCGACCAACGATTCGGCATTGGCTATGCAAAAGACCCTTCTGCGTCTAGAAGAGCCACTTGTGCACTTACATCTCCGGCTAACGCCTCAGTATCTTCCGAACACGCTCCGCTGAGACCGCTTAACTGGTGGTAGGGCTCATCCATGATTAAATCCAGGTTGTGATCTGTCGGGACGTAGACTGAGATACCGGTCTCTTAGCATTTTGATAGAGCTTTCTGATCTAACGGCAAATAATCGAAAATTAGGAGAGGTTCGATCTATTAGCGCTGCCTTTGCTATGGTGCTTAATGCAAAACCAGACGAATTGGACGAAGATACCTCTTAGTTTTATTTATTTGAACACATAAATATTGCTACAAGAGGGCACCAAATATATATACGCCACATAAAACAACGAGAATGTGAATAGAAGAGAAAAGAAAAAAGAAGAGGGTAAGGAGCTGAAAAAAGTATAACGAGCAGATTAGTTTAAGGTAATGTAGAAGTAGTAGTAATAGTAATAGTAATAATAATAATAATAAAGTGAATCGTCTGATCATTAACTGAAGCAAGAAAAGTATCTTCCGTAAAGATCAACATTTCATCATATTTGTGTGTGGGTTTTGATACTGCCCGGGTGCCAAAACCGAAGCAGGTGGTTTCCTTAGGGGGACACACCCCGAGCCTTTGACCTGAAGATCTAATTCACAAGGCAGTGGAGCATCGTGAGGAGATGCAGTCCCATGGAAGCCGGTGACCAACGATTAGTTCATACGCCATTTGTTCCTTCAGGATACTGGAGCCCATGTGCACCATTGATTTGGGATCCGGTTAAAGCGCTTTTTGTCCTCTCATGTTCGTAAACAACACCCCCGACACGAGAAGGCAGTGAGTAGGACTTCCCTGTCAGAGGCTGTATACACGTGGCCGTGTGAGAGTATTTCGAGAGGGAGATCGGACTCTCCCCACTCTCGGCCATGCCAGGGCATTTGGGGGCTTAGTTCCCAGACGAATATATGTGAAATAAGCCTTTCGAATCAACAGATGGAGAACGAATTCGTGGAACCCTGCTGGTCTTTACTACAAATATCGGATAGGCAACAGACATCGATATAGAGATTCTTCAAAGACATAGCCAACCTTAACTATTGTCCGATCTACATTAGTGTGCGAACGTTGAAGGAGTTAGTTTGAGCGATTTACGTAGCTTTAGAAAGACTGGTTAAAGATCCGTATTTGGTAGCAGCAGTCGACTTCTAACCAATTAGTGTAGATAGGACAAAATTTCCACCACAGAAGTGATGTGCATGTTGGAAAATAAAAGTAAACACGGAATGAAGATAAAAAGGATGAGAGGAATAAAATGTAAAATGAATTTGTAACTAGGTACTTAAGATGGACATTTAGGTAGATAACGAGAGCAAGCAAAAGTAGTCTTTTTATTGATATTCATCTTTGTAGTTGTGTTCATTACTTTATTAACCTACAAAAACCTAAGATGTTTTCTTCAGATCGAGAAATGATATTACTTGGTACATGAAGAGAAACCAAACATCTGAAGGTTAATTATTAATACATGGACAACAAAGAATACATTATTATGTTGTATACACAACTAAACTTAACTAAATCCATGATTTACTAAAACAAAACCGGAGTCAGATTCAGCTTTTCAGTTCATATAATTAAAATTACACATGACGCTTTACTTCTAAGGATCATGGAAATTACATTAGATTCTGAACAATCTACAACTAGAACGCAGTATAATGAACATCTGTCTTGGTCAAACAACGTAAAAACTAACATAATCTGTTACCTGATCCCAAAATAAACATTACCATTTGCTTGATTGTAACATTACTTATGGTATATTGAAAAACTAAGTTGAGAAACAGGTAAGTTGCTCAACACATAAATCACTAAAAAAGAAACTCATTCACACAACTCCTGTTTTCAAGGAAGATATGTTTATGAGTGAATAGGAACAAAAGAAATATAAATAAAATAGTAATAGCATGTGATAATGTACTTTAAATATAAAAAGTCGTATTGACTCAAACCAATATGTATTAATTATTGAAGTTAACAAACAATCATTGTTAATGATAGTGAAGAATAAAAGACATACACATTTCTCTCATGTCCTGAAAAAAGAAACCCCAACACACTTTAAGGAAGCAATGACCTCAATAGTTCAGTGAATCAGTACATTAGGATGTGGAAAGACATTAGAAAAATGATATGAGATTAATATTTTGAGTAAAATAATGATTACTTGCAGTATTACAGCGTGAACAATTATTAGACACTATATAAGATATTGATGAGCAGCTAATTCAGTGCCAGAATCAACTGTTGTTTTAATTAACTCTCGCACTACACCAACCAGCTTGAAAGGAAAATTTGCTGGCAACATATAGCCGAATAAATCCAGAACTTCAGTTGTAAGTCTTCGTGGTGTGATCCTATTTAGTAACGAAAAAGAGAATATGTGCCTTTGGTGTTATATGTACGATTGAGAGCACTATGAACACTACATTAACTTTAAAAAAACATACCAAGTTTTATAAACAAAGACCGACAAGTACTGTAAGACAAAGTTAAACGACTCCATTACCAAGGCTCTTAATCTCCCTCATAAGTATTAATTTTATAAACTATTTTACAATTTTGTGTGAAAAATCCAGAAAACAGCTTGGTTTACTTGCAAAGAATAGTCATGACTACTCTTTCCGACCGTCACTGCTACCTTGACGTGGTGGTAAGGCTTGCTTATCGTGATGACCCAACCGAGCTATATTGGTTGGAACATATGTTCCTTTAAGTTTTACCATGCCAGGCGGGTCGATTGGAGAACGGAAAGACTAAAAGCAGCAACTCAAGGTCTGAGGGCGAAGTTATACTGCTGACTGTGGAGGGCTGTGACAGCAGAAAGGTGTTTACCTAGGGCAACCAGCATCTGCAGCAATGATGCTTTCTCACGAGGAAGGGTTAGAAAAGGTCGACCTTAAAAATGTCACACTTCACCTTACCCCACGGATTCCCGTCTCCGGCGGTAAGGCTCTCTTGAAGAACGGAGCTAACAGGTTAAAAACCTCCCACAATAAGGCCGTGCGCGACTGGCCTCAAGCAGTTGGCCCTTGGGCTCTGTGGTCACGCTCTCAGGTCGTTAAGACTAACACTAATCAAACTTCCTTCTTAGGTCCCGCAAAAAACCCCTCCATGGTGTGGGCAGCCGGGAGGCGACGTCATCCCTCATCTCCGTAACAGCACACGAGACCATGTTGGTCACAACCAAATCCTTCCTACGCCTCCTAATAACTCATATCTGCACGACTAACCCTTCATACGTTCCTTTGTCACCTCGCGCCGCTAATGCAAGCGATTTGGGTACGCGGAACGTTATTCCTGGTCCCCTGAAACCACGCTCTAAATTACATGTAGGAGCTTTTAACGCCCGAACACTATACCAAATAGGACAACAGGCTTCCTTAACTAGGACTTTAGGATCTTGCGCCATCGATGTATGCTGCGTCTCCGAAACGCGCATACAGGATCCGAGTAGCGTCATCCATTTGACTTCACCATATCAAAATAACGAACCAACTCGATTCACACTTTGTGTATCTGGAAGCCCTGATTCTGCTTCCCATGGCCTCGCTGGCGTAGGTGTAGCATTGAGTCCTAGGGCAGAAATAGCTCTCTTAGTCTGGATCCCAGTAGACAGCTGTTTGTGCACTGTCCGACTAAATGGAACAATAAGAACTCGGAAAGATAGGGACACACGTCGTTGCCTCTTCGTCGTCTCTGCCCACTACTCTCCCACTGACTGTAGCTCAGATGATGTAAAAGACGAATTTTACAGAAAGCTTTCCAACCTCAGAAAAGCTAGGTGTTCTGATGTAGTAATAGTGGCTGGTGACTTTAATGCTCAAGTAGGTAAACTAAGTGAAAGGGAAAGACACCTGGGTGGATCTTATGGTGTTGTGGCTCAAAGAACAAATAATGGCAACCAACTGTTGCAGCTATGCTCAGATAACCGCCTGGTTCTTGCAAATAATAACTTTAAGCATTAGGAAAAACATCTTTTGACGTTGGACCCGAATAGATTACATCGCTATCGGCCACTGATGGAGGGGATCGATAGAAGACTGTCGCTCATTCTGGCGCAGATGGTTAGATTCAGATCATGATCTAATGCGACCGCGTATCTGTCACCGGCTTACTGGACGTGGGAAAGACGTTGCAAGGAAACCTCTTAGGGCCCTACTTGATTATAGTCAAGCTAAGAGTATATTTCAGGAACAACTAGAAAAACAGTTACGCCGCCATGTAGGTGATACCCACCCCGAAGTAGCGTGGAATGACATCCAAAAAGCTGTAGAAACAGCAGTGATGTTTGCAAGTACGGTAAACCATAAGGTTAGGGAAAAACCCTGGGTCTTAGCAGCACATAGCGACTGGTAGATGCTCGAAAAAACACCCCATCTAGCTCTGAACATGAAGAAGAATGGATTGAGCTTAAGCGCAGGTTGATTAGAAGCCAACGCAATGATCGCTAATAGTGGTGGGTAGCGAAAACAAGAGAGATAGAAAAGGCAGCGGCAATAGGCAACAGCAGATAACTGTTCAGGTTTGTTAAGGAAACCGGTATTAGGAACCAAACTATAAGCGAAACTATCTCGGAAAAAGATGGCCGTATTATTCACTCTCAGTGCACGAGATTGGATCAATGGGTAGAACACTTTGGGGATCAGTTCAACTGGCCTTCAGCCACACTTCGGTTCCTCACGATCTCCAGTCGACCTGAATGGCAAGTTGATGTAAGTCCTCCGACTCTTGACGAAGTTGAAAAAGCTAAAGGTAATCTAAAGCGTGGGAGAGCAGCAGGCCCTGACAGGTTTACTCCTGAGATTTTTAAGGATGGTGGTCCAGTATTAGCAGCGAGAGTGACTGAGGTCTTAGGTAGAATCTGAGAACTGGACGTAATCCCATCTGACTGGTCTCAATCACTGATTGTGCCAGTCTATAAGAAAGGACAAAAGTCTTCTTATAACAATCACAGAGGAATTAGTTCGACTAATATAGTGTCTAAAATATTAGCTTCAATAATACTTCGACGCCTAACTAAAGCTCGTGATTAGCAGACTAGAGAAAACCAGGCTGGTTTTCGACATGGACGTGGTTGTATAGACCAGATATTTACACTACGTCAGGTCCTAGAACATAGACACACATTCAGACGCCCCACAATAGTAGCATTCCTCGACCTTAAGGCGGCATTTGACTCTGTTGATCGTGAGGTGCTATGGCAGTGTTTTGTCACTGAAAGGAGTACCAAAGAAGTACATTAACCTTATAAAGGCTCTCTACTCGAACACAGCTGGTCGAGTGAGAGCTTATGGCGAACTGTCATCATCGTCAGGGTTGTCCACTCTCTCCATCCTCGTTTAACTTTGTCGTTGACGTGCTTTTAGAAATAACATTTTCTTCATCTAAATTTCTAGGAGTTGAACTTCTACCGAGAGATCCACTTGTTGACTTAGGATATGTCGATGAGATAGTTCTATTTAGTGAAGACACTGACAAAATGCAGAGTCTGCTGACCACTCTAAGCAACAATGCAGGCATGTTCGGCGTGCGATTTTGTCCCTCGAAATGGAAAATGTTGCTTCAGGATTGGGTTGCATCGACACCCGAACTAGTAATAGGGAGTGAAGTAGTTGAGTGTGTCGACCGCTTCACTTATCTTGGAAGTCTCATCAGCCCTTGTGGTCTGGTGTGTGACGAAATCTCAGTACGGATACAGAATGCTCGACTAGCTTTTGCCAACTTGCGTCATTTGTGGCGTAGGCGAGATATCCGTCTAGTAACCAAAGGACTAGTTTACTGCGCAGCAGTTCGTCGTCTTACTTTATGGCAGTGAAACATGGCCGGCAAGAGTAGAGGATATTCGTAGGTTAAATGGTTCAAATGGTTGTGGACGGAATAAAAGAAGCTTTCGCTTAACAGGCTTCCGTGTCTAGTAGCAGGGGATCACCAATACCTCCAGGCAAGAACCTAGGTATATTAACGATAAAAGAGAAAAAAACGAAATTGGTAAATCATAGTAAGATACTATCCTTAGTCCTTAAGAATAGATCAAGTCGCCTCTCAAAGAACTCCTGGGAAGTTGCTTGGACTAGCTCAGCTGGCAGCGAACTCCAGCATTTGACAACTCTTAAGGAGTAGAAGTTGTGTCTGCAGTCCGTTCTACTATGTTGTATCTCTAATTTCTGGGTGTTACCCCTTAGGTTAGTGTTGGGACTAAGCTTAAGTAGGTGTTTAAGAAGATGTCCAGGAGTGTTAAGGATACTGTAAGCCATTAGGTCACCTCTAAGACGCCTATACTCGAATGGGTAAAGGTCGAGTGATTGGAGGCGCTCTTCATAAAGTTTAAATTTGAGTCCCCAAACTGATTTCGTGGCTCGCCGTTGGATACGCTCCAGAGTGTCCTTATCCTTTTGGAGTGTAGGAGGGAATACTGTTTCCGTACTCTAAATGGGGACGAATGAAACTATTGAAGATTATGTGAAAAGTTCTCCCGTCAAACTGACCAAAAATGCGCTTCAATGTTACCAGTGCAGGGTTTGCTCGAAAGGCATTTCTGTCACAGTTGGAGTAAGACTTTAAGTCGTAGGACACCAGGACTCCTAAATCTTTTTCGACTAGGGATACTACTAGAGAGGAGTTTCCTAAGTTGTAACTGTAATCTGCGACGTGTCGCAGATGGACTACTTTACACTTTGAGGTGTTAAAGGTAAGTCCGTTATCGTCTGCCCAACTTTGAAGTCGAGTCAGAGCCTCCTGAAGTGCCTGTATGTCCTCTCGGTTGCGTATCTCTCTCCAAAGTTTCACGTCATCTGCAAAGAACAATATGTCTGACGTTATCTGTTGAGGGAGATCATTTATATAAATCAGGAAGAGGAGAGGTCCTAGTACTGAGCCCTGGGGGACCCCACTAGTACATTCCATAGCGTGTGAGAAATTGAAGTTTACCCTGACCTTAAAATGTCGATTTATGAGATATGAACTGAGCCAGTCAATTAAAGGTGGTTTGATACCCAATTGTTTGAGCTTGTTATTAAGAAAAATGTGGTTAACCCTATCAAAAGCTTTAGGGAAATCAAGGTAAATGATGTCTACGTTCCCCTTGCGATCAACGATGCTTGTCCATCTGTCCACCGCAGTCAGCAGGTTCGTCATACAGGAGTAGCCCTTTCTGAAACCATGCTGTTGGGGTGAGAAGAAATTTAAGGACAGCAGATAGTCGTGTATACCATCGTATACCAGGGACTCCATGATCTTTCAAGGTATAGAGAGAAGAGCCACCGGTCGGTAACTTGAAGGTTCGCTGCGTCGACCTCCCTTGAAGATTGGTGTGATATGGGCCAGCTTCCGAATATCCGGTAGTTTGCCCCGACTTAGCGAGTGTGAGAACATCACGCTAAGTGGTGTTGCCAGGATTGAAGCTGCTTCCCTCAGTATAGCAGACTGGACCATGTCTGGACCAGAAGTGTCTGTTCTTAGGTGTTGTAGTTTACGGAACACCAAGTCAGAGCTCAGTTTCACTAC